AGTTCTTCTAGATATCCTTAATAATCATCATCAATATACAAGTGGGTATATCTTAGAGTTGTTCTAGATATCCTTAACAATACGATTCATTAATTCATTATTTTCACTTTAACAATTCATGATCATCATTCAAAACGTTCATCATCATTAATTCATTATAATCAATAATCAAACAATCGTCATAATGCATAATAACAAACTGCGGCCTAGTCTCGAGTGTTAACACCCGAACTTACCGTCATGCATCAAATAATGTTTATATGTCACAAACATCATTTTTATTGTACAAAATCATATTTATATTGTGCATAATTAATTGGTATCAAAAATAGGATTTTAGAGCATATTTTCAGGAACATTTTCATCTTGAATTGAGGAAAATAATTTAAAATAATCAATTAATTTATAAAAATTGATTTAAATAATTTTATATAATCCATTAATTCATAACAATTGATTTTTACAATTTAAATAATCAATTAATTCATTATAATCGATTTTTACAATTTAAATAATCAATAAATTCATTATAATCGATTTTTCAACTATAAATAATCGATTAATTAATAAAAAATCGATTTTTACAATTTAAATAATCCATTAATTCACAATAATCAATTTTTACAATTTAAATAATCCATTAATTAATAATAATCGATTTTTACAATTTAAATAATCAATTAATTCATAATAATCGATTTTTACAATTTAAATAATCCATTAATTCACAATAATCGATTTTTACAATTTAAATAATCCATTAATTCATAATAATCGATTTTTACAATTTAAATAATCAATTAATTCATAATAATCGATTTTTACAATTTAAATAATCAATTAATTCATAATAATCGATTTTTACAATACAAATAATCGATTAAATGGTACTGACTTCGAACCACTGATCTAAATAAAATTTTAATCGATTTTTAGTAAGTAAATAATCGATTTTCGACCACTGTTCATCATCTACTTTCTCGGGTCAGTTTTAACATTATCATTTTTTAATCACCAAACTTTAATTTAATTATATAAAAATGTTATCCAATGTTCACATATCATTTTAGAGTCATTCATTCGTAATTTTAACAACAATTTCATGGTTTATGATTCTTGGTTCTTCAAACATGTCAAACACAAAACTCAACCAAACGACCGTTTATGAACGTAGAAACGATCTATACGAACATTCTAGTCATTAGATATATCTACGGGCTTACCTCGAAGCTTAACGGAGGTTTTGGAAATTTTCCGGTGAAACTTCCGGCGATGATTACTCCCCACTCCGGCGACTTCGGCGGCAACCAACAACACCAGACTGCTCCCTTCACTCTTATGAAAACAATGGTATAATTTTGCAGAACATTGGTGCAAAATTGATAAGGATGGAGTATCCTTATATAGAAGAAGAGAAGGGGAAGAAGACATTGGTAAGCTGACTCATTTTTCGTAGAATTTCCTTAGTGCGCAGGTCGGCGATTCTAATTGATCTACACGCCCTTCCCTGATTGGGACTAATTTCGGTCCCAGTCGGGGTACTCTTTTTGGTCCAACTTTCTCCGAATTGAAAATCGTTTGCACCGTTGCGATCAGACAGTCGAACTCTATCCAACGATATAATTTTTATATTTATTCGTTATACTTTTTCTGACATCATATTTTTGGGTGGTTGACTTTGACAGAGTCAAAATTGGCCTTTATTCAAAAAGGTTCTCACATTTAATTCATATTATTTATTCCCATGATTTATTTCAATAAATCATTTCAAAGTTCACATTATAAACAATTTCTTCATTTATTCTTAATTTGGGTCTGTACTCAGGTTCCCAATCAAGATCACACAATAAATCAACATGTTGGATTTATCTCTATAAGATTTATCCCAATTATGTTTAATTGATATCAATATATATTTTATTCAAGCCCAAATCCCAACAACAATTTATTTTAATCAAAACAAATTTTGTTTAATTGAATATTTAATTCAATAAATTTTAGGGTATATTTTGGGGCGTTATAGTGTGTATGGGCAATAAAGGTTAACTAACCCCCAAGGACCCATAGACATAGTTTGGGTACCAAAGTGTTGCTTTTTTGCAGGTACATATCAAAGTGAGGAACTTAGGGCGAACCAGCGATGGGTGGTTTATCCCATCACTGGGAAGGAAGTATTTTCTAAGCAGCAGCCCTCTTCCCATCGATGGGAACTTCTTCCCATCGCTGGGTGTTTGACACTTTTTTTTTAAAATTTTTTTAACGGATTTCCAGTAGCTGTCTTCCCATGGATGGGAGAACCTTACCATCGCTGGGAAGGCTGCCTTCACTTTTTTCCTCCCTTTCCAGTACTTGTCTTCCCATCGATGGGAGAACCTTACCATCGCTGGGAAGCCTGTTGCAGTTCAAAAATCATAGCCGTTGGGCACCTCATTCAATGCCTAACAGCCATATTTTTTAACACCAAGGGCCAAAATTCTCTTTTCCTATAAATATTAACCATCCTTGGTCATTTTTAACACACAACTCACATTCCTCTTGCATACTTTAAGCCTCTACTCACTTTCTAAACGCTTCAACAATGGCTAGAGGAAAGTCAAGGACCAAAACCGAGGCTTCAAAGAAGAAGGCCAACACCGACGCCACGACATCTTCTTTATTTTCTCCTTATTAAATATGATTGTATTTTTATCCGTTGTATTCTGCATTTCCCTTTTAAATGAATAAAAGTTTACTTTTAATTCTTTTTGTTAATGTCAAAAGGGGGAAGATATAAAGGTTATGCATAGATTGACGGGGAACTATTTCTAAATTGCATTTATTAAGGGGGAACATTTTTTAAGTCTCAAATCAATCCTCCTATGCATAACCCCGTCTTGTTTGCCATTATCAAAAAGGGGGGAAATTGTTGAAACATGGGTTTATCACGTTTTCGTACTAAAGCCGTGTTCGTTGTTATGACAGGTTTTGATAATGCCAAACCGCCGTGAACAAGACAAGTCATTGAATATACAAGGCGAGAACCAAAGATGAGAAGAAAGAGAACAAGGGCCAAAAGAAGACCAAGAACGAAGACCATAGTCTTAGTGTCGTTAAGTCGGTCACAATTGTGATCAAGACAGACCCAATCTTTACACCTTGGCTCTTTAGGCTAAAATTCTTTTCATTTAATTTCACATCATAAAAATGTTTTTCAAACATGTTTAGAACATTAAAAACACTTGGTGTTCGCCCAAACCAAAAACCAAGCCATCCGCCGTTCGGTTTTCGGAAACCGGCGTTCGGCATTCGGTTTTCGGCGTTGGTTTTTGGCGTCCGAACTAACCAAGTGGTTTTCAACTTTTTATGATTGTTTTTTACTTCTGGGCACATTTAAATAGTTTTCCATCAAAAACACTTCAAAAACCACCTTTCGTTTTTTGTCGTTTGATAAAAACCATGCGAAACAGCATAAACTTGGCTAGCCGTGGTTTTTACTTAAATGAAGTGGTTTTCAAGTCTTTTTGTGTAGGAATTGTTTTTGAATGCATTTAAATGGTTCTCCAATCAAAACATCATGAAAACCACCTTTCGGTTTTGTCTTTTGGTAAAAACCACCCGTGTATGGCGTTGACTTGGTCAATCGTGGTTTTTACCTTAACGATGTGTTTTTCAACTTAAAAAGCTTGTTTTGCATCACAATACATTAAATAAGTGTTTTATATACTTAGTTTTTACTTTGGAGAACTTTGCATTTTTCGGTCGGGTTTTAGTGCCGGTCAGCTAAGCCATAGTTCTGGGCTAGCCATCTACCCAGCGATGGTAGATATCACCCATGCATGGGTAAGTGATCCCGGGATTCCAAAATCATTCTACCCAGCGATGGGAGATATTACCCAGCGATGGGTAAGCAGCCTTCAGCCCAACTGATTTCCAGAACCATGCCAAATAGCGATGGGAAGTTCTACCCATCGCTGTTTAAGCCTTGGTCCAACATTTTCACAAGGCAGAACGACCTTACCCAGCGATGGGGAACTTATCCCATCGATGGGAACCCATCGATGGTAAGGCTAAACCATCGATGGGAAGGCATGACCGTTGCAAGCCATTTAAGACTGATTCTTTCCTTGTTTGAAAGTCAACCTCCCACCCAGCGATGGAAAGCATTTACCTTGCGATGAGTAGGTGACCGTTGGCTTCGAAACTGAAGGAAAATTGGCTTACCAGCGATGGGTGAGTCTAAACATTGATGGGAAGCCAATGTCCTGTAGATCTCAAATTGTTTCAATCTCATAAATCATGCCAATCACCCCTTTAATGTATTGGTCCGTTGGAGCATATTTTGGCACTATAAAAAGGGGTGTTTGGGTCTGTTTTACACATCAATCCACTTCACAATATTCATATTATCATTGCATCCAAACCACATTATTTTCCATAGCTTTCGAGAGCCAACTTGTGTGAAGTTTGAGTTGATCTTGAGCGTATATATTTTACTCAATATCCACTCTTGAGGAGAGTCTTGTTCTTGAGTGTCTTAGTGTTGTATACACGTTAAGGGAAGCTTGTTTCCCTCGGTTGTACGAAGGAAAGGTATTTTCCTTCGGGTTGAAGTCTTGGAGTGCGGTATCTCCGAGCAAGTGTTGTTGAGACTCGTGGGACTCGAGTTCTCAGGTTGTAACGGTTTGTTATGCACCCGTAAGCTTAACGAGAAAGTAGTGTAGCTCGAGAGAGTCTCTCAGGAGACTAGATTAGCCACACGTTGTGGTGAACCGGTATAAATCTTGGTGTGCACCCTTTACGCTTTCTACGCTCTTTACTTTTCACGTTCTTAATTTTTTATTCCTGTGATTTATACGATCAAACGCTATTCACCCCCCCTCTAGCGTTGGTCACTTATTCTACCATGGGTGATATCTACCATCGCTGGGTAGATGGCTAGCCCAGAACCATGGCCTAGCTGAACGGTGTTGAAACCCAACCGAAAAATGCAAAGTTCTCGAAAGTAAAAATTAAGTATTTAAAACACTTATTTAATGTATTTTGATGTCAAAACAAGCTTTGTAAGTTGAAAACCATGTCGTTAAGGTGAAAACCACGGGTGACCAAGTCAACGCCGTACACAGGTGGGTTTTACCAAAAGACAAAACCGAAACGTGGTTTTCATGATGTTTTGATTGGAAAACCATTTAAATGCATTCAAAAACAATTCCCACACAAAAACACTCGAAAACCACTTCATTTAAGTAAAAACCGCGGCTAGCCAAGTTTATGCCGTTTCGCATTGTTTAAATGAAACGACAAAAAACGAAAGGTGGTTTTTGAAGTGTTTTTTATGGAAAACTATTTAAATGTGCCCAGAAGTAAAAATCAATCATAAAAAGTTGAAAACCACTTGGTTGGTTTGGACGCCAAAAACCAACGCCGATAACCGAATGCCGAACGCCGATTTCCGAAAGCCAAACCCGGGATGGCTTGGTTTATGGTTTGGGCGAACACCAAGTGTTTTTAATATGTTTAAGAATGTTTGAAAATAATTTTGATGATATGTAAAATGCAATAAAAAATGTTTTAGCCTAAAGAGCCAAAGTGCAAAGCTTGGGTCGGTCTTGATCACATTGTGACCGACTCAACGATGCTAAAGACTACGGTCTTTGTTCTTGGTCTCTTTTACATCTTGTTCTCTTGCTTTCTTCTTATATTTATTTCTCGCCTTGTATATTCAACAACTTGTCTCGTTCACATCCGTTTGGTATTATCAAAACCTGTCATAAACACGAACACGGCTTTAGTACGAAAATGTGATAAACCCGTGTTTCAAAAATTTCTCCCTTTTTGATAATGGCAAACAAGATGGGGTTATGCATTGTAGGATTGATTTGAGACTAAAAAAATGTTCCCCCTTAATAAATGCAATTTTCTTTTAAACAATGTTTATGTGTTGAATAAGAGTTAGTTTTAGAAAAAGTCCCCCTCAATCTATGCCTAACCTTTATATCTTCCCCCTTTTGACATTAACAAAAAGAATTAAAAGTAAACTTTTATTCATTAAAAGGGAAATGAGGAATACAACGGATAAAAATACAATCATATTTAATAAGGAGAAAATAAAGAAGAGGTCGTGGCGTCGGTGTTGGTCTTCTTCTTTGAAGCCTCAGTTTTGGTCCTCAACTTCCCTCTAGCCATTGTTGAAGTGTTTAGAAAGTGAGTATATGCTTAAAGTATGCAAAAGGAATGTAAATTGTGTGTTAAAAATGATCAAGGATGGTTAATATTTATAAGAAAAGAGAATTTGGGCGGGCATTGAATGAGGTGCCCAACGGCTACGATCTTTGAACTGCAACAGGCTTCCCAGCGATGGTAAGGTTCTCCCATCGATGGGATGACAGGTACTAGAAAGGGAGGAAAAAGTGAAGGCAGCCTTCCCAGCGATGGTAAGGTTCTCCCATCCATGGGAAGACAGCTACTGGAAATCCGTTAAATTTTTTTTAAAAAAAGTGTCAAACACCCAGCGATGGGAAGAAGTTCCCATCCATGGGAAGAGGGCTGCTGGTTAGAAAATACTTCCTTCCCAGCGATGGGATAAACCACCCATCGCTGATTCCCCCTGAGTTCCTCACTTTCATACGTACCTGCAAAAAAAAACACCACTTTGGTACCTAAAGTATGTCTATGGGTCATGGGGGGTTAGTTAACCTTTATTGCCCACACACACCCAAAATTCGTTTCCTTACGCGCGCGCACACACGATTAGATGATCATTTAGGAGTTACCTTGGCCAACCCATGATCTCGTGGTTGGCGGGTTCTTGTCTACCTGAACGGAGTGCCGATATCTCGGTGTGATTTGTGTTGGTTCTAGTAACGGAATGTGGATTTTCTTCTTTTCGTCAAAGTAGAAGAAATAATAAGGTTTCTTTTGTGCATTATCCTGTGGAGATTGTTTATGATTCGAATATCCTTTTCCAAAGGATTTCTTTTCGTTAGCACCAAATATGTTGTGTGTTTCATTATAGGGGAAATGCCTATGCCTCGTAAAACACACGGGAGCTATATGTCCTACCCTATTGCCATAATGGCATACTACGTTTGGGTTGAACATATGCCTAGGTTGGTAATAGCTAGGGGGTCTAACCATATTCATCCTATTTTGAGAAAATGTTGGTTTTTGGGTATTTTGAAGATTCTCTCTTCTAGGTGTTCTAGCATTATTTTGTCTATTTGAAAAAATATTTCTGTGCATGAAATCATTTTGATAATTCTTCCTAGGTTTCCTAGAATGCTCTTGTTCGTAACTAACCTTTTGTCTAGGTTGTCTATTATTTTTATTTTTATCTTTCTTAGGTTGAGCTCTAGGTGGTTTATGGTTGTGCTTAACGTTTTCTTTATTTTTAGGTTCATTAATCTTCCCAAAACCTATTCCTTGTTTAGTGTATTGCATAGAATCAAAAACGAGATTAAGATCCTTATGTGGTTTATTAAATTTCTTCACCGCATTTTCTAGTTCAGCAACTTGTTCATTCAAAGCTATGCAAGATTCACAATTTTTCGTAGAGCTCTTGGGTTTGTCGGTGCTTCTTTTACCATAAAATTTATTTTCCTCTTTTAGTTTTTCATTTTCCTTTTGAAGTTTTTCAAGTTCCGTTTCAAGATTAGAAAAACGTTTCTTTAAAGCTTTGTTGGTCTTAGAAGCGCTAACAAACTCGTCATAAAGCTCTTGGAGAGCTTCTTGCATTTCTTTAAGAGAACAAGAACCGGTAGAAGAAATACATATCTCTTGGTTTTCGTTGTTGGCGGACTCATCTTCTTCTTGAGCTATGAGACAAAGGTTTGCTTCCTCGTCTTCCTCTTGTTCGCTTGACTCATCGCCGGAGTCGCCACCCCAAGAGATGTATGCTCTTTGCTTTTTGAAGTGACGAGCATTCCTTCCGATTCTTGGGCATTTGTTCTTGATGTGCCCGACTTCACCACATCCATAGCACACAGCGCCATCCTCAACCTTTTCTTTCTTCTTTAGAAGTTTGCAAAACTTCTTCATGACAAGCTTGACTTCATCATTGTCGCTTGAGTCATTCATCATCGGTTCTTTGAAGGCTTTCAATGCTATGCCTTTCCTTTGGTCGTTTAAAGGCGGGTTGAGTATAGTAGATTCATACGTTTTTAAGTTACCTCTTAAACCGTCGATGGTGACATTTGATGTGCCGATTGACTCATAGATGGCATCAGCCTTAGATTGCCATTCGGATGTCAAGCTCCGTAGGATGTTTCGCACAAGATCCCTATCGGTGTAGGTCTTCTTTAATGCATGAAGATTGTTGACTATCTTGGAAAAGCGGTCGAACATGTCGTCAATCTTTTCGTGCTCCTTCATCCTGAACATCTCATACTCTTGGGTGAGGAAGTCGATCTTGGCTTCACGTACTTGGTCCGTTCCTTCGTACGTCACCTCGAGCTTATCCCACATCTCCTTGGCAGTTGAGCAGGAGGAGATCATGCGGTAGTCGTCGGGGTTGACTGCGCAGTAGAGCATGTTAATCGCCTTTGCGTAGTTCTCTACTTTCTAGATGTCTTCGGCATCAAATTCGTCTTCGGCACCTCTTCCCCGTTTTTGATAACCAACCATAATTGGAAGTTCATGAAATGAATATAGATTCTCATTCGTTCTTTCCAATATGTATAATTGGTTCGATCAAAAAGAGGTGGCCATGTGGTTGATTGCCCTTCACCTATTCCTGCATACAAATTTCTAGAAGAAGAACCCATGATCGCTTTTCTCTCAAACGGTTAAGTTTGGACGCGAGTTAGGCTTTGATACCAATTGATAGAAATAAGTGACCAACGCTAGAGGGGGGGTGAATAGCGTTTGATCATAGATATCGCAGGAATAAAAAATTAAGAACGTGAAAAGTAAAGAGCGTAGAAAGCGTAAAGGGAGCACACCAAGATTTATACTGGTTCACCACAACGTGTGGCTAATCCAGTCTCCCGAGAGATTCTATCGAGCTGCACTACTTCCGTTAAGCTTACGGGTGCTTAACAAACCGTTAGAACCTGAGAACTCGAGTCCCACGAGCCTCAATACACTTGCTCTGAGATACCGCACCCCAAGACTTCAACCCGAAGGAGAATACCTTTCCTTCGTACGACCAAGGGAAACAAGCTTCCCTTAACGTGTATAGAACACTAAACACTCAAGAACAAGACTCTCTTTAAGAGTAGATGATGAGTAAACTAAGTACGCTCAAGAACAACTCAAACTTCACACAAATTGGCTCTAGAAAGCTATGGAAAATGATGTTGTTTGAATGCAATGATAATATGAATAATGTGAAGTGAATTTATTCGTAAAGCAGACCCAAACACCCCTTTTTAAAGTGCCAAAGTAGGCTCCAACGGATCAAAACATTTAAGGGGTGATTAGCATGATTTGTGGGATTGATATTTAAGTGGATCTGTAGGAAATTAGCTTACCCAGCGATGTATGGAACTTCCCATCACTGGTAGACCATATTTCCTTTAGTTTTAAAGGCAATGATCACCTACCCATCGATGGGTAAACACTTCCCATCGCTGGGTGGGAGGTTGACTTTCAAACAATGTAAAGACAACGGTTGACTTTCAAACAATGGAAATTAGCCTACCCAGCGATGTATGGAACTACCCATCGCTGGTAAGCCATTTTTCCTTCAGTTTTAAAGACAACGGTCACCTACCCATGGATGGGTAAGAGCTTCCCATTGCTGGGTGGGAGGTTGACTTTCAAACAAGGAAAGAATCAGCCTTAAATGACTCACAACGGTCATGCCTAACCAGCGATGGGTATGCCCTCCCATCGCTGGGTAAGGGCATTTTGCCTTGTGATTATATTGGACCAAGGCTTGAACCGCGATGGGTAGAGCTTCCCATCGCTGTTTGGCATGGTTCTGGAATTCAATTGGGCTGAAGGCCGCTTACCCATCGCTGGGTATTATCTCCCATCGCTAGGTGGCATGATTCTGGAATCCCGGGATCACTTACCCATGGATGGGTGATATCTACCATCGCTAGGTAGATGACTAGCCCAGAACTGGCGCTGAAACCTGACCGAAAAATGAAAAGTTCTCCAAAGTAAAAACTAAGTATTTAAAAGTTTTTCTTAATGTATTGTGATGTCAAAACAAGATTTGTAAGTTGAAAACTACGTCGTTAAGGTAAAAACCACGATTGACCAAGTCAACGCTGTACACGGGTGGTTTTTACCAAAAGACAAAACCGAAAGGTGGTTTTCATGATTTTTTGATTGGAGAACCATTTAAATGCATTCAAAAACAATTCCCACACAAAAAGACTAAAAAAACACTTCATTTAAGTAAAAACCATGGCTAGCCAAGTTTATGTCGTTTCACATTGTTTTAATCAAACGACAAAAAACGAAAGGTGGTTTTTGAAGTGTTTTTGATGGAAAACTGTTTAAATGTGCCCAGAAGTAAAAAATCAATCATAAAAAGTTGAAAACCACTTGGTTGGTTTGGACGCCAAAAACCAACGCCGATAATCGAATGCCAAACGCCGATTTCCGAAAGCCAAACCCCGGATGGCTTGGTTTTTGGTTTGGGCGAACACCAAGTGTTTTTAATATGTTTAAGCATGTTTGAAAATAATTTTGATGATATGTAAAATGCAATAAAAAATGTTTTAGCCTAAAGAGCCAAAGTGCAAAGCTTGGGTCGGTCTTGATCACATTCTGACCGACTCAACGACGCTAAAGACTACGGTCTTGGTTCTTGGTCTCTTTTAGATCTTGTTCTCTTGCTTTCTTCTTATATTTTTTTCTCGCCTTGTATATTCAACAACTTGTCTCATTCATAGCGGTTTGGCATTATCAAAATCTGTCATAAACACGAACACGGCTTTCGTACGAAAATGTGATAAACCCGTGTCTCAAAAAGTATATGCATAACCCTTTTCTTCCCCTTTTGACATTAACAAAAAGATAAAAGATAACTTTTATTTATTGTAATGGGAAATAGCGGAGTACAACGGAAGCAAGTTAAAAAAAATATGACAATTGAAAGAAAAGAGATAGAAATTCTAGGGGCGGCCTAGTCTTCGTCTTCGGTTTCCTCCTCCTCGCCGTCGTCGTCCATCTCATCACTGTCAATGGAGTCGTCGAACTCATCCTCGTCCGGGGAGTTTGACGGGGCGTAGGAGAATTCGTCTTCGTCCTCTTCACCGTACACTTGCCCAAGGAATGTGCCTTGGTACGGTGGGGGGACGTAGTTGACGCGTTGGAAGTACGTGTCCATGGCATGGCCTTGGCGTTGAATAGCCTCGTCGAGCCGTTCAAGGTACCCGTCCATCTCGTCAACTTTGAGGTGCAGCCTGTTGATGGAGTCGGTGATGGAGGCAAGTTGGCCCAGTCCTGGGGTTTGGCTGGGCCATCGGCAGGATGGCAGCGTGCGGCAGTGGCAGGCGCGGCGTTGTCCGACCACTTGGTGAAGGTTTGGGCGCTGATCGTCCAAAGCTTCGTGGCCTTGGTGAGTGGGCCAACGGTGGTGGTGACCTTGAACCGTTCAAGGATGTCCATCACCAAGAACGGGTACGGGAGGAGGTGATCGTGGTCGGTAGATGCGGCGATTGTCATGTAGATCATGACAAACTTCACCCAATTGATTGGCGCCGAGTGCATGATCGCGTGGAGGAGCTTGAGGTCCTCACCGAACATGATCGTGTGCCCGTGCTTCCGGGGCTTGATGATCCGAACCACGATGTAGAGGAGGAGACGGCTCTCGGGAGTCGCGGAGTGGATGGTGGGGCGGCCTGTGGGATGGTAGATGAGTTCGTTGATGCCGAGCTCGCTGAGAACTAGGCCCTCGTTGTTGAGGACACAATCTTCTCCGCCATAGGTGGAGATGTCGTTGCCTTGGTAGGGAGGCCGGAGATGCGCCCAAGTTGCTCCACGGTGAGTTCAATTGGCATGGACTTGACGATTCTGTAGATAACGTCGTCCTCACCCCGTAGATTTGAGTAGAAGGCCCGAATCAGCGGCGGGTTCATCTCCTTCCGAGCCCGGGAGACAAACGGCCATAGGCCGGTTTGGTGAAGCTGCCCGTCGAGGAAGTCGTAGCATTGCAACTCTGGGAAGCGCTCCGGGACAATCTGCGAGGGAGCCACAACTCGTTTGTAGAAGAAGGTGAGAAAGCGGGTGCGCTCCTCCTCGGAATCGAACCAACGATACGACCCGTCGCCGTAGTAGAGGCGTTCCTCGGAGGTCGTCGAAGGAGCCCGGGATTTGGACTTGGATTTCCCGGAAGTTCCTGCCCTCCTCTTGTCTTTGCCCATGGTGATGAAGAAGATTTTAGAAAAAAGGTGTAGAGAAAATGAAATTTGCTTGAATTTTAAGGAGATTTTTGTTTGTATGTGTAAAAGTGAAGAGAGGGGGTCCCAATATTTAGGAAAAGGGGGTTCCCCAACATCCAGATTTCAAAATTATGGCTGTTGGAGCAATAAATGCAGTTACCAATGGATATTTTTTTTGAAAAATTCAACATGAACTTCACAAATGGTGTCTTTTTCAAACTTAAGTTTTGGAATGCCAATTACTAAGTTTTGGGAAACCAATTTGTTCAAAAGGTTCATGTTCATATGAGCTACCCTTCGGTGCCATAACCAAGCGTCTTCCTCTTTACTCATGAGGCACTTAGCAAAGCCGGAAGGTGATTTGTCTAAGTTAACCATGTAAATGTTATGGATTCTATCACCACGTAAAATAACCTTATTTTCACTAAGGCGTTCTACCGTGCATGATTTCGAATCGAAGGTCACACGATTTCCCTTGTCACATAATTGACTTATGCTCAAGAGATTGTGTTTAAGAGCTTTAACAAGCAAGACATTATTTATAGAGGAGTCGTTGGATTTACCTACCAAACCAATGCCGATGATTTTTCCTTTTCTATTGTCTCCAAAGATCACATTCACTCCTTTAGCGAGTTTAATTTAAACGAACTTGGATGCATCCCCGGTCATGTGCTTGGAGCATCCGCTATCAAGGTACCAAAGTACACTTGATGCCTTCAAGCACACATATGAAACACATCAATGAGTTTTAGGTACCCAATTTACGTTGGGTACTCGTGTGTTAGGTGTGTGATGGTAGTGTTCTTGATTTTGTGATAGGGGCCTATGACTAGTGTAACAAACGGGGGCAATATGGCCTATCTTATTGCAATAATGAGAAACTACATTGGGGTTGTACATGTGCCTAGTTTCATAATAGTTAGAGGGTCTAACCATATTGTTCCTATTTTGTGAAAAAGATGGTTTTTGAAAATTTTGAAACTAACCTTTCCTAGGTGCTCTAACATTATTTCTTCTATTTTGAGAAAAATAGGTTTTATGCACAAAATCATTTTTCTTAGGTTGTCTACCGTGAACATTTTCATTCTTAGGTTTAGTCTAGGTTGTCTAGTGTCCTTAGGTTGACTAGGTTTTCTATTATTCTGATTTTTAAGTTTCTTACGTTGAGCCTTAGGTGGTTGTCTAGGTGGTTGCTCAACGTTTTCTTTAACCTTAGCTTCGTTTTTATTAAAACGTATTCCTTCCTTAGAAAAATGCATAGTGTCAAGGAGTAAATTTAAATCTTTGTGCGGAGTATTAAACTTCTTGACCGTGCTTTCAAGTTTAGTGACTTGTTCTTTTAAAGTCTTACAAGATTCACATTCGATTGAGGAACTTTCCGGTTTGTCAGCGCTTCTTTTTCCAAAAAAATTGTTTTCTTGTTTTAATTTTTCATTTTCTTTTTCCAATTTTTCAAAATCGTTTTCAAGTGTAGAAAGACGTTTCTTTAAAGATTTATTCGTTTTGGAAGCGCTAACAAATTCTTCATAAAGTTCATGAAGTGCTTCTTGCATTTCTTATAAAGTATAAGAGTCGGAAGAAATGGTACATACCTCTTGGACGTCGTCGCTTTGATCTTCGTGCGCCATGAGGCAAAGGTTTGCAGCTTCGTCCTCCTCTTGGTCGGTTGATTCGTCGCCGGAATCGCCACCCCAAGAGATGTAAGCCCTTTGCTTCTTGAAGCCGGACTTGTCCTTGCCATGCTTGGCCATTGGACACCTCGGCTTGATGTGGCCAATCTCGCCACAGCCGTAGCACTTAGGAGGACCGTCGTGCTTCCTTCCCTTCTGCTCAAATTCTTTCTTCATGAATTTGTGGAACTTTTTTATGACGAGTCCAAACTCGTTGTCATTGTCGCTTGAGACCTCTTCCACCGGTTCCTTGGTGGCTTTGAGAGCTATCCCCTTTTTCTTTTATTCATCCAAATACGGGATTAGAATAGTAGATTCATAAGTTTTAAGGTTACCTCTTAGCCCGTCGATGGTGACGTTGGAGACTCCGATGGATTCATAGATTGCATCGGCTTTTGATCTCCATTCAGGGATGAGACTCCACAGGATTTTCCTTACGAGAACCTTGTTGGCATATGTCTTCTTAAGAGCATGAAGATCGTTTATGATCTTTGAAAACCGATCAAACATGTCGTCGATTTTCTCACCTTCCTTCATTCGGAACAATTCATACTCTTGGGTGAGAAAATCGATCTTGGCTTCACGAACTTGATCGGTACCTTCGTACGTCACTTCAAGCTTGTCCCACATCTCCTTGGCGGTTGTGCAACAGGAGATCTTTTGGTAGTCGTCGGGGTTGACCGCACAATATAGCATATTGATGGCCTTTGCATAATTCTCCACCTTCTTGATGTCTTCAGCATCAAACTCGTCCTGGGTCTTTGGGACCGTGGTTTCTCCCACTTTCTTCATTGGGATTTGCTCGCCATTTTTTGATGACCAACCACAAATGGAAGTTGGTGGAACGGATATAGATTGTTATACCCAAATTGGGGGTCTAAACAAGTTTTTATTTTGAGAAGGAATTAAGGGGTGATGCAGCTTTAGATTGAGAGTTCTGGGATACTCAATAATCGATTGTGGGGTTTGACAATCAATTATGTAGTGATGCTGCAAAACGAAGGAACTTCAGGGATGCCGGATAGTCGATTGACACAAGTGTGATAATCGATTATTTGGTTGTATGGCCTAGACGATGAGAATTCATAGGGGCCAGACAGCCGACTATCAAAGTTGATAATCGATTATTGGGCTTCGCTGATTATTCCAGGAGTGTTCTGAAGGGTTAGATAATCGATTATTGATGTGTGATAATCGATTATCAAGGCAATCAGGATCCGAAATCTGTGCGGACAATAGTGGTGTTTGTATGGGGAATGGCTGGGATTAATATGGGAATGATGAAGGCGTTATTTTGGTATTTTTAATATAAGGAAAGAAAGGAGATTAAGGATAGAAATGGTGGGAAGAGAAATGGATAGAAAGTAATGATGGATAAACCAAGTTGGTGTTTAAGAGATATTACACACTCTTATCCTAACTTGGGGTTTGAATCTAGAATTTAATTAAGATATGACACACTTAATCAAACATCTAGAACCTAAAACTCACACTTAAGATAACCACTCTTAAGATATAGAATTAGGAATTTAGCTAAAATAGCATCACACTATTTTATAAATACTCAAAGAGTAAAATGTTTTAATATTCAAAAGATGTGTGTTACAATGGCCATATGGCCTGATTATATAGGCAGGGGAAGGGGGGGAAGGAAAACAAAATACATTGAATGTAGACATAAGGAAGTTTCCTAGCAACATCCACTTCAAAAGCATGGGGCATTCCCCATTCAATCCTGTCTCCTTAGTGGGATAAAATTCAGGGATGGGGCTGGTGTTGTGGTGTTTTTGAGCTTTGGTTTGTAGTGGTTGTTTCCTGGGTTTTAAGGCTATTATTTGGGTAAATATGAGGGGTTTTGTTTGCTAAGAAAAGGGGTCAGGGATGGGGGATATAAATGGGTGGTTTTGGACTTATAGGTTTGGGTTATTTGTGAGGGAACATGGGCAGAAATGAGTGGCTAGTGGTGGGTCAGGGTTTTGGCTCTTTGTGGGTGTTTATGTTGGGATTGTAAAGTGTATTTTGGCCAGGGGTGAATGGAATAGAGGGAGGGTTTTATTTGTTGAATTAAAGGCTTAAAAGAAGGAAAATAACAACAAACAAAAGGTTTTATTTTACACACCCTTATTTTCGGCCATGGGCTAAAATAAGTGTAGGAAAACTTTATTTTGAAAGGAATTAAATGGAAAGGGGTTTTGGATGATTAGGGTGGGGTTTGGCAGAGTGGGAGTTTGTTGGCAGAACCCTTAGGTCCGAAGTTATTTGGCCTCTCGGGTTGAAGGACTTGGAATTCTCATTAAAATGGATCGTAAGTCCTTTGGTTTTTGCGAGGGTGTGGGACATGGGGGAGGGTATGATAGGGCCAAGCCCGGGTATAACATCCTCCCGGTCTTCAAAAGAGTTTGCCCTCAAGGGCAACCATGTAGGCATTGTTAGTGACCTTGGTTACCACTTCAAACGGACCATCGTCTCAAGATTGAAGCTTTGTCTTGTGTTATCCAGAGAAACGCTCTCTTTGCACATGGAGCCACACTAAGTCTCCGGGCTGAAAGTGGAATGAACTTTTCAACTTCTTTCTCTTAATAAGCTTTTCATGAGTCTTATGATAAAACTCGGAAGTTTCTTCATCACATGGAACCTGCAAAAACTTAACAAACTTGGCACAAGGTACCGTTAGTGAAGATAGCTTTTGAGGTGAGGCTTTTACATCTTGGCTCATAGCTCCACATTGAAATTTCTTCTTATCAACTCGAACGTTTAAGCTAGTTAAGCCATAGCTTAAGACCTCATCTTTGGTGGCAGCCACATCCTTCTACTTTAATTCACCATTGGGTTTGTTTTCACCTAAACTGAGATGAGCACGTGGTTCTATCCCTTGGTGAGGCGTGGATACGGGTAGGAGTAAACATGCCGAAGCCTCTTTTCTCAATGAATCCACAAAATTAGGTGCTCATGGCATGTCAATATGAAATAAAGAAAATCTATGTAATTCCACTCGTAATGCTCTTCCATGGTTGAGCGACTCAATGGAACACGATTTCACAAGGGGTTTGATTCCAAGCTCATTTTGATTAGCCCAACTGCTCAATGGCCTATCCATGATCATGAGCTCATATTCTTCATGGGTTTGAGCCTTCACATCATCTAGTGGTTCCTTAAGTCCCGATGAGTTTGATTTCTCTTCTTCCCTTTCAACCAATGGTTTCAAATTCTCATCAACAGTATAACAAGCAATCTCTTGACAATGGAAGCAATCAGGATTCTTAGGAATAGATGGGCAGGTTTTTGGTGGGGGTATGACCAAGGCATTCGGTGGAGAGGCTATGGTTTTGTGGGGGTTTTGAGCGGTGAAAGTGGAGGTGGTTCTGGGGGTGTTTTGGGCAGTTTGTGGAGGGGTTATGGACAAGGGTTTAGGAAAGTTTGAAGGTAGATATTTGGGCTTAATTTGGGCAGTATTCAAGGAAGAAAAGGAGATGGTTTGTGAGGACTTTTGGGGCAGGGGTGCTAAATGGGTATTTGGACCATTTTGGGCAGTAGCTAGGGATGGAACATTGATGGGTTTTAAGAAGTTTTGGGGCAGAGGTGTGGAGAAGGTGTTGGGGTGAATATGGGCAGTGGCTAAGGAAGGTAAAGAGGTTGTTTTAGTCGGAACTTTGGGTAGGTGTGAGGGAGTTGGGTGAGAGATGTTTCGGACATCATGGATGCAAGGTAAAGAAGGACTTTAGAGGGAGTTTGGGTGTTGCAGATGGTGGTGGCTTCGGAAATGATTTGGGTAGTGTGAGAAGTCTGCGAAGATCAGGCTCTAGAGGAGGTTAAGGTTGTGGGTGAGAGGGCAATATGGAGCGGCTTTTGTTGTGGGGAAGGTGGTATGACTTTAGAAAGAGTATAGGGTGAAAAAGGGAGAGTATGTTCAAGTACCTGGTGGAGATGATCTTTGGAAGAAAATCTCTTAATTAAGAGTTTTCTTAACTTTTCCCAAGTTCTCACCTTGGCCTTGCCTTGGAGCTTTCGTTTTGAAGCAACACTAGCCCACCATGTAGAGGCATGTCTTTGAAACTTTGCAACCACTAGCTTGACCTTCTTTTCTTCGGGTACGTCTTTGAGCGTAAAGGCGTCTTCAACTTTTGCTAACCACCTTGAGAACTTCTCCGGGTCATTTCTTCCTTCAAACGTGGGAATCTCCACTAAATAAGTGAGCTCCTTGACTTGTTTCATCATAAGCTCAACTTCCATCTTTAACTTTTCTTGGGCAGCAATTACATCATATTGAGACATATCTTGGATGATGTGAGAAATGTTTCAAAAGAGAAAATGTAGGAGATGGTGGTTTAGCCCCTTAAGGGATGTGGAACAACAAGCTTTGATACCAAATGTTATACCCGAACCGGGGGTCTAAACGAGTTGTTATTTTGAGAAGGAATTAAGGGGTGATGCAGCTTTAGATTGAGAGTTCTGGGATACTCAATAATCGATTGTGGGGTTTGACAATCAATTATGTAGTGATGCTGCAAAACGAAGGTACTTCAGGGATGCCGGATAGTCGATTGACACAAGTGTGATAATCGATTATTTGGTTGTATGGCCTAGACGATGAGAATTCATAGGGGCCAGACAGCCGACTATCAAAGTTGATAATCGATTATTGGGCTTCGCTGATTATTCCAGGAGTGTTCTGAAGGGTTAGATAATCGATTATTGATGTGTGATAATCGATTATCAAGGCAATCAGGATCCGAAATCTGTGCGGACAATAGTGGTGTTTGTATGGGGAATGGCTGGGATTAATATGGGAATGATGAAGGCGTTATTTTGGTATTTTTAATATAAGGAAAGAAAGGAGATTAAAGATAGAAATGGTGGGAAGAGAAATGGATAGAAAGTAATGATGGATAAACCAAGTTGGTGTTTAAGAGATATTACACACTCTTATCCTAACTTGGGGTTTGAATCTAGAATTTAATTAAGATATGTCACACTTAATCAAACATCTAGAACCTAAAACTCACACTTAAGATAACCACTCTTAAGATATAGAATTAGGAATTTAGCTAAAATAGCATCACACTATTTTATAAATACTCAAAGAGTAAAATGTTTTAATATTCAAAAGATGTGTGTTACAATGGCCATATGGCCTGATTATATAGGCAGGGGAAGGGGGGGAAGGAAAACAAAATACATTGAATGTAGACATAAGGAAGTTTCCTAGCAACATCCACTTCAAAAGCATGGGGCATTCCCCATTCAATCCTGTCTCCTTATTGGGATAAAATTCAGGGATGGGGTTGGTGTTGTGAGGGTTTTGAGCTTTGGTTTGTAGTGGTTGTTTCCTGGGTTTTAAGGCTATTATTTGGGTAAATATGAGGGGTTGTGTTTTCTAAGAAAAGGGGTCAGGTATGGGGGATATAATGGGTGGTTTTGGACTTATAGGTTTGGGTTATTTGTGAGGAACATGGGCAGGAATGAGTGGCTAGTGGTGGGTCAGGGTTTTTGCTCGTTGTGGGTGTTTATGTTGGGATTGTGAAGTGTATTTTGTCCAGGGGTGAATGGAATAGAGGGAGGTTTTTATTTTTTGAATAAAAGGCTTAAAAGAAGGAAAATAACAACAAACAAAAGGTTTTATTTTACACACCCTTATTTTCGGCCATGGGCTAAAATAAGTGTAGGAAATCTTTATTTTGAAAGGAATTAAATGGAAAGGAGTTTTGGATGTTTAGGGTGGGGTTTGGCGGAGTGGGAGTTGGTTGGCAGAACCCTTAGGTCCGAAGTTATTTGGCCTCTCGGGTTGAAGGACATGGAATTCTCATTAAAATGGATCGTAAGTCCTTTGGTTTTTGCAAGGGTGTGGGACATAGGGGAGGGTATGTTAGGGCAAAGCTCGGGTATAACATAGATTCTCATCCCTTCCCTCCAATAGGAGTAGTTGGTGCCCTCAAAGAGCGGTGGCCTAAAGGTGGATTGCCCTTCGCCAATACATGCGTACAAATTTCTAGAAGAAGAGACCATGATCTTATTCCTCTCAAACGGTTAAGTCTGGAAGAGAGTTAGGCTCCGATACCAATTGTTAGAAAAACATCCCAATGCTAGAGGGGGGGGTGAATAGCGTTTGAAACGAAAATGATGCAGGAATAAAAATTAAAAGCGTAAAGTAAAGAGCAAGGAAGAGGCACACCGTTTTTACCCTGGTTCACCACAACGTGTGGCTAGTCCAGCCTCCCGAGAGACTCTCTCGAGCTACACTATCAATGTTATGCTTAACGGTGCTTAACAAACCCATACAACTTGAGAGTTCGAGTCACACGAACCTCAATGAACCTTCGAAGGAAACAACCCTTCCTTTGAACTACTCAAGAGAAAGACTTTCTCTTATCAAGTGTCTAAGAACACTAAATCACTCAAGAACAATACTTTATTTTGGAGTGGATAATGTGTAACCAAGAACGATCAAGAACACAACACGAACTTCACAAAAATGGCTCTCGAAAAGCTATGAATAATATATGAATGTTATGCAATGAAAGAATAATAGTTGTGAAGTGATGTGATGTGTAAAGCAGACCCAAACACCCCATTTTATAGTGGAAAAATAGGCTCGAACGGGTAGGAGTTGAATAGGGGTGATTGGCACAATTTGTGGGATTTGATTGAAATTGGATCTGCTGAAAATCATCTAGACAGCGCTGTCCATGGCATGAACATCACTGTTCTAGGCGTAGTTTTTAAAAAATTGGGAAGCAACGGTCAAGCCAACAGCGATGTCCAAAAGCCCTACATCGCTGTTTTGGCTGTTGACTTCCAAACAAGGAAAGTTTTAGCCATAGATTCCTTCCAACGGTCAGGTACCTACATCGATGTTCATCACTTAAACATCGATGTTCTTTACTTGAACATCGGTGTTAAGACCTGACTGTGATGGTTGAGGAATTGGCCTGACATCGCTGTTGCTGGGTCAACAGCGCTATCCATAAACTTTCTTCCAAGGCATTTCTTTTTGGCTTAGGGTGGACAGCGATGTAGGGCAGTCTACATCGCTGTTCTAGATGTTTCTAGAAACCCAACCTTGGCTCAACAGAAATGTTGAATAACCAACATCGCTGTTAGAGGATTTAACGCCAAACCATGGTTTTCAGCTGCCCATGCCGGACAGCGATGTTGGTTACTCCAGCATCGCTGTTGGGCTGGTTTAGCAAGACCCATGGTTGGTTTAGTCATGCCGTTAGCCGATCTCAAAAATCTAAGTTCTCCAAAGTAAAAAATAAGTATCGAAAACATTTAATTAATGCATTTTTCTAAGAAATCAAGTAAAACATCATGAAAACCACATCATTTAGATAAAAACCACGGCAAGCCAAGTTTACGCCGTTTCGCATGGTTTTTACTAAACGACCATAAACAAAGGGTGGTTTTTGAAGCGTTTTTGTTGGGGAACTATTTAAATATGCCCAGAAGTAAAAACCAATCATAAAATGTTGAAAACCACTTGGTTGGTTCAGACGCCAAAAACCAACGCCGATAACCGAATGCCGAACGCCGGTTTCTGAAAACCGAATGCCGGATGGCTTGGTTTTTTGTTTGGGCAAACACGAAGTGTTTTAGGCTTGTTTAAAACTTATGAAAATCATTTTTTAATATGCAAAAGAATATTTTAATGAAGTGAGACTAGAGTGCCAAGTTTTAGAAGTTTGTGTCGGTCTTGATCACATTAAGACCGACTCAAATAATTCTAAGTCTTCGTTCTTGGTTCTTGGTTCTTGGTTTTCAATTCTTCATGCCATGTTCCTTCGCCTTTGATTTGCTCAGCTTGATTTTGTTATCACGCCGGTTTGGCATTATCAAAACCTGTCATAAAACAAACACGGTTTAGTACGACAGAGGCGTAAACCTGTAACACCCCAAAACATACCCTAGAATTATTAATAAATAAATAATAAATTAATCAAATTTGTTTTGATTAAAAATAATTTATTGTTGGACTTTGGGCCGAAATAATATGTGTTTGATATCCAATATCTTAATCTGCATAAATCTCGTAGAGATAAATCCAATATGTTGACTAATTGTGTAATCTTGGTTGGGAACCTAAGTACAAACCCAAAATTAGCAATAAATGAATAATGCGTTTATGATGTAAACTTTAAAATGATTTATTGAAATAAATCATGATAATAAATAATATGAATTTAGTATGAGTACCTTTTTAAGTAAAGGTCAAATAAATCAATTTTGACTTTGTCAAAGTCAACCACCCAAAAATATGATGTCGGAAAAAGTATTACAAATAATTATGAAAAGTATATCGTTGGATAGAGCTCGATTGTCTGATCGCAACGGTGCAAACGGATTTCAATTTGGAGAAAGTTGGACCAAAAACTGTACCTCGACTGTACCAAAATAGGTCCCAATCAGGGAACTGTTTAGACGGTGCCTCCTTCCCCACTACGCCAATCGCAGAATTGTGGAGTCAACATAGCTGTCTTCTTCTTCTTTCTTTCTCATTATATAAGAGAACCCAACCTTCTCATTTCTTCACCATTCTTCTTCATTCTTCTTCCTCAGTGTTCATGAAAGAGTGAGGAGTGTTGTGGTGCGGTCAATTTGGTGTGAAGTCATTGGAGTTGGGAGAAATACTCGCCAGAAGTTTCGCCGGAAAATTTCCAAAACCTCCATTAAGCTTCGAGGTAAGCCCCTAGATATATCTAATGACTAGAATGTTCATATAGTTTGTTTCTACGTTCATAGATGGTCATTTGGTTGAGTTTTGTGTTTGACATTCTTGAAGAACTAAGAATCATAAACCATGAAATTGATGTTAAAATTATAAATTAATGATGCTAAAATGATCTATGAACCTTGGAGAACATTTTTATATACTTAAATTGAAGTTTGGGAAGTAAAAATGACATTTCCGCAAGATGACTCGAGGTAGAAGACGATGAACAGTCGATTATCAACTTGAAAATCGACTGTGGCTTGTTCTGCAGATTTTTGGAACAAAGCTGAGCAACAGTCGATTGTCAAAATGTGACAATCGACTGTCATCCCTCCTTGAAGTTTGATAATCGATTATTAGAGTGTGATAATCGATTATCAGCACATTCTGAACATCAGACAGTAGATTATCAGAAGTGACAGTAGACTGTCTCCCTACACTATTGAAGAAAATGAAGCTAATAGTTAATAATTGAATTTCCTATCATATATTAATCAATTATTGTTTAGGAAACATGATTTTTGAACTATGAAATCCTATTTTTGATACCCATTAATTATGCACAATATAAATATGATTTTGTATAATGAAAATGATGTTTTTGGCATATAAAATATTATGTGATGCATGACGGTAAGTTCGGGTGTTAACACTCAAGACTAGGCCGCTGTTTGTTATCAAATGTTATGTTGATTGATGATTATGATCAATGATTTGAATTGTAAGGATATCTAGAAGAACTCTAATATATACCTAGGTTGACCTTGGTTTATAAGACTATCTAGAAGACCTCTAAGATGGCTTAGAAATAGGCCTTGCGGGTATAATTATGAATATTCGGTGGCCTGGGTTAAAACGTACGTACGTGATCTACAAACCAAACTAGAGGAACTCGTTTGGGGATACCACCCAACCCGACAGTGAGCATTCCGCTATTCGCTTTCTGGATGACCTTAAGCGAAGGTAAGTTTAAGATTTTGAAAACCTCTTTTTGAAAATTTGTATCTTAAACTAGGCCTAGCTTAAGGATTAGTTAAGAGTGATAGGTAACCATGCAAGGATAGGCAGCGGAAATTAAAAATTTTAACATCCTAACATGATTATCTTGCCCAGAATCACGTACTAAAACTTATAGTAGTAAGAAATTTGTACCTTTCTCCGTAAGCGGTAAAAACGAAGAAGTCGTAGGAAGAGCGTTGAAAGTGCAAACGTAACCGTTCAAGCGTCCGGTCTCCAACTTTGACACACGAACAACGCCGGAGTCTACCACAATCTTTATGCTAGTAAAGATTATAGTAGTATAAAATATAATGATTAAAATTCGGATAATAATAATCTTGTATAGTTCTATAGAAAATATTTCTAATAATATTTAGAAAATAT